GGGCCGCTCTCGCCCGAGCAGTTCCTGCCGCACGTGGACGGCGCGCCCGTGCGCTACAGCAGCCTGACGCTGGACCTCTTCATGCTGGGCTACTTCCAGCTGCTGGAGTGTGACCTGCCGCCCGCCGAGCGCAAGGCGCGCCACCTGCTCTGCTTCGAGGTCTTTGAGCACCTGGGTGCCCACGGCTGGGAGGCCGTGCGGGCCTTCCACCGAGCCGTGACCGACGAGGTGGCCGCCGGCCACCGCGCTTGGACCGACGGCTTCGAGGACATCAAGGCCCGCTTCTTCGGCGCCCACCGGGCCCCCGCCTGGGACACGGAGGCTGACCGCAAGCCCGGCCTGCCCGAGCTCAGGCCGCTGCCCCCCGCCGTGGCACCCCCTGGGAGCCCGGAGCCCAAGGCGGAGGATGCGGGCAGCCCGGCGGACTGTTTCAGCAGCGAGGCCATCTGCGGCTACATCGATCGCAGCTTCGCCTTCTGGAAGGAGAAGGAGGCCGAAATGTTCAACTTCGGCGATTGAGCTGCGCTCTGCCTCTGGGGCAGGGCGGCCTTCACCCCCACCCCCGTGCCCACCAGAGAGAGGTCTGGGGGTGTGGGCTGTCTTCACCCCCTCAGAGAATGGGGCTGGGTACAGTCAGCCTCCACTCCCCAGGAGAGTGGGGCTAAGTGTGGTCTGCCCCCAACCCCACCAAGAGAGTGGGGCTGGGTGCAGTGGGTCTCCTCCACAGAGAGTAGGTGGACGCAGTTAGTTGTTGCCTCGTCTTTTTCTCAACTCCCCTTCTCCACCTGCCCCCCATCAGGTAGGCCTGGGCACCGCTGGCAAGGCACCCGCTGGCTTGGAGCCTGTCCCTCCAGCCCCTGTGGCAGGGGTTACTCAGCTGTCCCAGTCGGTGGAATGGATGGGGCTCTGGGTTGGGCTTCATCCCTCAACAATGTGTCCACGTGTCCACCAGTTACCTGCCTGCAGACAGGAGACTTTGACCCCTGCCCAGAGCCACCCCAGGACACTGTGGAGGCTCTGCCCTAAGGGACGTCCAGGGAAGAGTGAGCCCTGTCTCCACAGCTGGCCACCTCTGACCCTGAAGAGTCCCTGCTATAGGGAGCAGTAGGGGAAAAGCAGCCACATCAACCCCAAGGTCTGGGACACCCCCCACACAGCACCCCATCAAGGTGGGCCGGGGCTGCTGGGGGCAGGGGCGCCTCAGACAAGAGATGAGCAGTCAGCAAGGACATCCAAGTAGTTGCCGACTGCTGGTTCCAGCCCCACGGTCCCTGGGACAGCCAAGAGGATGGGCCACCATCAGGCTATGGGGTCCAGGTAGGCGGGCCAGCACCCAGTAGAATTTCGGGGGTGGAGCTGTATCTCTGTGAGAAGAATCACACTAGCTGTGTGCACGTGCGCGCAGGGGACTTCCGGAATCTTCCACTGTCACAACCAGGCCCACTTGGGGCAGACAAGCCTCTGCCGAGGGTAAGAACACCCCGGAGCAGGAGTTAGGAGCAGCTGGGTGTGGGCTGGGGCAGAGCACAGGCACCCTTAGGGGAGGGCACAGAGGTGGGTGGGAGTCCAGGAGAGGAGGGGTACAGGAGGGGGCACCTGGCCCCAGGCCGACCAAGGACTCCATGGCCAGGCTGCCCTGGGGTGGTCTCCGCCCGGCTGCTCAGGCTCCTCCCTCCTTCAGACCCTCCCTGGTGAGTGTGTGAAATAAAGATGTTCGTTTCTGGTGACGAGTCCTGTGTGCCCCTCACCGACCCCTGGGAGCCTCCCAGGTCCCTGCACACCTGGCGTAGGCTCGGCCCCTCAGAGATGCCAGTGGCATGGCCCTCAGCCTCCAGAGCCTCAGCTGACCTATCGTCACATGGAAGGGCAGTGTGGACCCGGGTAGACCCCAGTCTGGTGCTGACCGGTGACTCAGGCAGACCCTGATCATCAGTAGTCAGTGTCTCAAAATTCCAAGGTGTGGGGTGGTGTCTCTGGTGGCTGTGACTATCTGACCCCAGGGCAGAGAAGCCCTAGTTCGGGCCAAATCCCAGCAGAGGGAGGTGGACGAAACCTGGCCCACGGGCACCGGTCTACCCAAGGCCAGAGGGAGCAGGGCTGGAGAGGGTGCTGGGGAACCTCAGGCTGGGGTGCGCAGGTGAGGTGTTGGGCATCACCACTGGCCTCATGCTGTCCAGGGGTTCAGCAAGGGACAGGGGTGGCAGAGAGTAGACAGACATCATTCATTTTCTGGCCAGAGTCTAAGGAGGTGATGCCGGCCTCCTGCTGGCCACCTCCCTGAGATGTCCCACTCCACGCCACCCGCAGATGTCACCTCCATCCAGCTACGAGGCACTCTGAGGCTTCATCGCCTCCACGCGGGGCTTGTCATGTGGCCAGCCGTGCCAGGGAGAGGTCCAGTGGGGGAACTGAGGAGATGAGAGCCCCAGCTAAAGCACCATGGGGCCCACAACCCTCCAAAGTCAGAACCCCCCAAACCCAAACACATCCACTGGATACCAACTGAGATCAACCCAACCTAGAATTTCCGAGTGTGTCGATCGCTCCGGGGAGCGGTCTCATCTGTCTCCCTTGGAGTAGCTTTGAACTACTAACCTTGTGGTTTACCTCCTGCTGGGGTCCCTGCTGGGCGACACAGACAGGGAAGCCAAAGATTGGCACTCTGAGCCACCCAGCTATGCCTCATCACAAGGACCCTGCAATCTCCAAGAGGCTCCGTTCACAAAACTGCCACGCTGTTCGACCAGGACCCGCACAGGGCAACCGTGAGTCAGCTGACCCCTGCCCACCAGCTTGGTTGACTGGCTTCTTGAAGAAGGTGGGCACTGTGCTTGCAGGTCCAGGCGGGAGATCCCCCTGGCACAGGGGTCCCAAGTGTGACTGACGCACAGTGCTGACTGTCTGAGCCACAGCGGGGAGCTCAGGTCAGGAGTGATGGCCGCCAAAGAAAACCAGCCTGACTGTCCACTGGCGGGAGGGTCTGGAGGGGCGCCACGTGGCCGCGAGGATGACCTCCAGCCCCAGTTTTGGGAGGTGACGAAAAGACGTCAGAATGTACCTGGGACAAATGGGCAGGTGGTGAAACCAGGCTCAGAAACACGATTCTGTTCAAGTTCTAAGCGGGGCCCAGGGGACGCTGGAAGGGGGAGGGGGCGGTTTGGGCTGAGGATGATGGTGATTCTAATGGCAGGGGCATCTTCTAACCGCTCTGTGTCTTCCCACATCAGGTAAAAATTCTTGCCCAGATGAAGAAACGGCGAGTTTTAGTGCCCGCTACCCCCTGCCCCCAGCAGCAGGCTGGTGCCCGGGTGTTGGATTTCCCAAACCAAACTGTCATTTGAGATTCGAGGTGCTGGTCTCCGGCTCTGTGAGCATCCACACTTGGCACTGCTCCGCTCTCCAGGGAGCCAGCTCCCAGGGACAGCAGCCTGTCACCAGAGCCCTGCCCTCATTTCCTTCACCTCAGCAGGAACACTTTAACCCTTTGTGTTCCACCTGCAAACAGCCCTGGACACCAAGTCCCGGGGCTGGCTGAGCTGGGCAGGCTGGGCAGGGGTGGATAGTTCTGGTCAGGGTGGACAGGACAGGTCAAGCAGGGGTGAAGAAGCCTGGGCTGGGTGGAGAGGGCAGGGCAGGGTGCAGTGGACAGGGCATGGGTGAAGAGGGCTGGATGGGGTAAAAAGAGCAGGGAGGTGCAGTGTGCAGGGAAGAGATGGAGAGGGCAGGGTCAGCAGCCAGGGCAGGCCGCCCAGCTCTAGAGCCCTGCAATGATTGGGGTTGGAAGCAACTTGGCTGAGTACTTAGCCTCTGAGTCACTATGGTCATGTGTTTAATGTGGCTCAGCAAGGTGGCCCCTGTCATGAGGCCAGAACTGAGGCTTGCCGGCCCACACTCGGGCCCCAGCCTCTGGCCTGCAGATGCCTGCACCCCTGCACCCTGGCTCTCTGACACCCTGCTCCCCTGAGAACCCACTCACCCCACAGGCTCAGTCATACTGGGACTCAGCTCTGTGGGACTGCCACACCAACCCCAGCCCCAGAGCCCCTAAGGTGTCCTCTCTGCTCCACTAGGAGTGGGTGCAGGTGGTGGGGCAGCGGGAAGGTAGGAGCCTGTCGGCCCCCCTTCAAGTGTCCTGAAGTCCCTCAGCTGTGAAACCATACTTCACAGACCCCAGGGTGCATCCCCTCGCCACCCTCAAGGCATAGGGGACCAAGGCCCAGCCCAGGCAGGGGTGTTTCTGCTGGTACTGCCCCCCCATGCCGTGGGGGGCTCAGAGCTATTCAGTGCCCATTTCTTGGTGCCTTGCAGCCAGCAGGCTACACCTGGCGTCTCCTCCTCCTCCCTCCCCCACAGGAGCCCCATGTCCCTCCAGCCTGGGTTGACTGTCCTGCACGGATTTTGATATCAACTGCTCCCCATCCAGGGGTCACCATGGAGACAGTGGGCCAGTGCTTGTGGACCCCGCCGTCCAGCCTGAGCCTGGGTGCCCCTGGGTCTTCCCGCTGGGCTCCTGCTGTCTCCACTTTCCAGAGAGGAAGACTGAGGTCCACTGGGGTGCCGTCAGGCCAGCCCAGCCCTGCAGGATGGGGTTCAGGCTCCTCTTTGCTCTGACCAAGGGTCACCCCAGAATCCAGGGAGTCTTTGAGGGCTGACAGTCCAGCGTACTCATACACCACCCCCTCCCTGGCCTCCCCCTCAGGGGCAGAGGCTAAAAATACCCCTCGGCCACGTGGTCACCCAGAAGCCCTCTTCTTGTCCCTCTCAACTGCCCATCAGTCCTGTGGCAGCCGGGCCGTAGCAACAGAGTCCTGCCATCTCCGAGGTAGGTCAGGGTTCTAGGGAGAGACGGGGAGCGTGGGAGGCTGGCTCGGGCTCAGGGCTTGTGGCCAGGCAGCCCATGACCTCCAGAGCTCATGGCGGGGGGGTCTGGGAAGACTCACACACACAGCCAGGCCAGCTCCCTCCAAGGTAGGGATCTTGCGTGTCTGGCCGGAGAGAGAGGCAGGGGGCCAGGCCGTCAGTGGTGGAACTGGGTAAGGGGCTTTCACCGCCTTGTCCTGGGCCCTGCTTGCTGCAAGAGTGGGGGTCAGCAGACACTGCCAGGCTCCATGGGTCCCTCTCCTGCCCAGATGCCCCCGCAGGCCCCGAGGAATGTGGCTGGCCGCGCCCAGCCGCTGGGCCCTGCCTCTGTAAATGTAGCAGCTGACGAAAGCGCACATATCAATGACTGGAATGTGAGGGGAGGCCCCCCCCACCCACAGTCCCAGAAGGACAATGCCCTGGCCATAGATGCCCTGGCGGTCAGCAGGTGGGCACATGGAGGGCGGAGGGCAGGGGAACAGAGCTCTCGCTCCAGCATTCCCGCTCCTCCTCCTGGAGTCACAGGCCTCCACACTGGCCAGATCCCCTCCTGGGCACTGTCCCTCTGGCCAGTTCTCTGCCCAGTGCCCCCTGGTGGATGGACATTGTCTTTGCTGCCATGCGTGGCAATGCAGTGGTATCGTGTTGGGAGGCTAACCACAAGGCCAGCAGTTTGAAACCACCAGCCTCTCCCTAGGAGAAAGATGAGGCTTTCTACTCCCGTGAAGAATTACAGCTTTGGAAACCCACGGGGGCAGTTCTGCCCTATGCTATGGGGTCCGTGTGAGTGACAATGCAGTGGGCTTGGCTGGGTTCTCCTGTAACCCAGAGGGCCTCCGCTCACCTTTTTCCTGCGGGGTGGTGGGGGTTTCTCTGAGGATGAAACAACCAGAATATAGTAAAGAAAGCCCACGCCCACTGCCGTCAGGTGGACTGACTCATGGTGACCCTGCTGTGTGTCAGTGCAGCTGTGCCCCACGGGGTCCCAGTGACTGTGAGTCAGTGCAGCTCCGCCCCACGGGGTCCCAGTGACTGTGAGTCAGTGCAGCTGTGCCCCACGGGGTCCCAGTGACTGTGTGTCAGTGCAGCTCCGCCCCACGGGGTCCCAGTGACTGTGTGTCAGTGCAGCTGTGCCCCACGGGGTCCCAGTGACTGTGTGTCAGTGCAGCTGTGCCCCACGGGGTCCCAGTGAC